GTGTGTGTGTGTGTGTGTGTGTGTGTGTGTGTGTGTGTGTGTTCGTGTGCGGGCGTGTGCGTATGTGAGAGTGAACACACTTTGGTGGTCATTTACTTGCTAATATCACCTCTGATACCTGGCAACTACTCCCACCTCCTTTGAAACGCAAATGTCTCGTCTTCTATTCAAAAATTCATCATCACTGCATTTCTTAACAAGCACTTTCCACCTCTACCTATCCTGGGCCAGCCTTTAAATGCTATCCCACGTCGTTCCACTGTTCCGTACATCAAAAGAAGACATTAAACAGTCTTTAAGACGGCATTTTATGTGATACCATTACCTCCGTGGGCCAGAACTTGACGAGAGCCTGAATCCACACCACCGGATCATGTCACATTTTTATTGGATATTTGCGTCCATCCGCATGGTTATTGTATCACTTTCAGCACCGGTTGGTTTTGGCAGAGTGCGTCGAATCATTCCGCTTCTTCAGTGATGCAAATCGTGTCGATAGAGACGTGAAATATTTATAATCACAATTCAGAAGAGATAATTCGAGAGATTCAAATAAGATCGATTTACGCTGCTGTCATGGAAGCACCGCCATCTTTGTTTTCGGAATTATATGTGTTTGCCGTTATATTTTTTTTTTTAGTAGAGGTTTTACGACGCTCGCAAATGCATAAGGTCATATGAGCGCCAGAAGATTAGAGGTGTTACAAGAGAGTAACAAACATAACAAAGAAGAAGGGGAGATAAGGACGATAGATTTCCCATAGGAAAGAAGAAGTAAACCACACCAGAGCACCCACCAATCACTCACTTGCCATAATATGTGTTGAGTTGTCTGTATTTTATACTCGTAACTCACACAGCCTTTGTTGTCAATTTTTTAAAACAAAACATTTTCATTGACAATTTTTAAAAATGATTTAATGTAAAAGATTATTTCATCAAAAGATGTCAATTTCAAAGTGTGCTTATTTTACATTCATAGTTTTGGACAAAGAGAAATGAAAGATCATTATACTACAAGAGTGTCTATCTTTTCTTTTTTTTTTTTTTGACCAACCGAATAAAAGCCGTCAAAATCGCCGCGGCACCACTTTAGAATTGGCACAGACTTTTCGGACTGCTGTCTATAAAAGTATTGGAATTATTAAATATCAGGGCGCCATTGTTATTACGCTCTCATTGCAGTTCCACGCCACCGACAGTTTATGGTTGAATGTTATTCCAAACTTACAATGAATGTTACATCAAGTGAAGCTTATGTGGGCCTAACTAAACTGTTTGCTTTACATTGTTAGATCAAGGTTTATCGATGCCATTATTTACTGCTCGATCACATTGGAGTTCTTGAATAATTAATGTTTTCATTCAACAGCAATTGTTAAAAGGTTTGCTGACTTTGCAGCTGCCAGGCCCATAGGTCTGTTATATTCTAAACTAAATTCCACGAGTTTTACGGAGACTTTGTGAGCGCAATGTGTCTGAGCTGCAGTCATGTAATACTCAAAATGTTACTGAGACTACTAGTACTGAGTCATAGGAACTAATAATTATCCACCGCAGAATTTTCTTGGCTTTTGTCGCGTTCCGTCTTCAGGGAGGAAGAGACGATCATTTTCGACGTTTTAAGTCTTTAACCCTCTCCGTAGGTCGTGTTTTACTATCGTATCCATACGACGTGGGGAACTCTGTGACACCACTTTCCAGACAGGAAATTTACTCGTTAATCCGATCTGTACGCTTTGCATAGCAGTCTGTCAAAATGATTGTTTGAGAAATACTGAAAGTTTCAAAGATATCTTAGTACTAAAAGCATTCTAAAATGTGAAGAATACAACCCCGGGGATACAAAATGACTCCAGGGCGTATGGATAGGGTTAAGGATGTAGCTGCCACACAAGTCCGACAGAGGCAGAACAAAGGCCATGTTGTAGCACAATCCAAGTTTATTTGAAAGAAGTGTGTAAGTTGTTGTAGTTCTTTTTAGATTGCAGAATAAGAAAGAAAATATTGGAAAACGTGTATAGGTAACAAAGTAATTTGAGTGCCTCTTGTCTACACTAGGTCTTCACTAGTTGTCGAGTAGACAGAATGAGCGTCCTCAAAGGTTTAACTCATTGAGGACGTTTATTATTCCTGGTCATTCGGCAATATTTGATGATGTGCTTTTTTTGGGTCATAAACTCATTATTCAAACAGATTTTTCGATTCTCATTTCTTTATTTGAAGCTTCAAAGGCATTCAACCCCGCGCATATTTTGAAACACGCAAATTCACCTTTCTGATTTGTGTATAATGGTCCGAACTGTACAGCAGCATTTCCTTTAGTCAGTTGCTGATCGGACATAATGTGACCGATATGTCCTTAAAAGGTTAATGAAATTTAATAGGGCTTGAGATGCACAAATGAGGAGGTTTATTAAAACTCACCTAAACCAAAAATCTGACTGCAGCAGGTAATTACAGCAACCGAATTGTGGCTTACAATAAATGGTGTGTACTACTTTTTCCTCGATAAAAACAACAACAACAACAACGAAAGAAAGCTCCAAAAATAAGGACAGCTGTAGCTTTTATCAACATTTCACAATAAAATTCACGCAGGAATAATATAATTTAAAATTGATTTAAAAGGGGTTAAGCCAAATAGAATGGATGAAAATTGCCCCAAATCCATCCAGAAATAAACTGCGACTGGATTTTTAGGACGAACGAAGCTACTTTGAAGAAATGTTAAAACTGGGGTAATATTTTCCACAAAGTTCAAGGAATTCTAAAATGAAATCTTAAAAAGAAAACCAACATAAAACCAGGAAAAGGGTAGATCTAGTTTGGAGTCAATTAAGCAATAGTTACGAGGCACATGTTTGTGGTGCAGGGGTCGTGCTGACCTGAACTATGTCTGTGGTGTAGTTACTAGGCGCTTCTCTGTTGCGTGCAGGACACCCAAGTTCGATTCCCGAGTGGGGAAGATTTTCATCTCGGTCTTTCCGCTGGGATGTTGCAGCTATCCCTCTCAGCCCTAAAAGGCAGTGTCGGAAGCCCGCCTCTCGCATGACGTATTAGATCTAGTAAAAACGATTATATGATTTTAAGAAAAAAACTGACCTGTAAACAAGGATGACGGCAACGACAACACAGCGAGACCCTCTCTGATAAATACAGGGCTCAGAACTTCCTGGTCATCATTCGTGTTTTTGATGGTGAGATTCACGCCGTGATTGTTCGTGTTTTCCACGGACAGGAGAGCCACTCCCGAGGCACAGTTGAACGACGTCTTGTAGAGAGAGTCATTCCCGTCGTCTTCTATCACCACGTTGCTTAAGGTCTGTGCCGACGTTCGTGGGTCCGTCAGGATGAGGAAGAAGAGGAGACCTATGGAGATTAAAACACGACTATTAAAATTTGAGTTATTAATTTGGAAAGTATATTCCGAGCAATAGAAGTTCCCTTGTTATGAGTGTTGCCATTATTCCAAACCGAATTCCCAAACGAATAGTCAAAATATAGCTCGATACCTTGGAATTACAAAGTTCTATCTGACATTTTTGGTCTTTTTGAGTTGCTAAGAGTAAACCATGAGTTTAGAAACCATTTTATTTTCTATCTGCTCTAACAAAGCAGTAAGGTTATTCGGAGTCGTTATCAAGATATTCATAGTAAAACTTTTTGAGTTTCATATTGTGTCAAGATTTTTCGTATGGATTTTTAAAAACATCTTAATGAGGACTCCGAATAATCTTCAGATTTTGATAGAGCAGACAGAACATTAATTGATTTCGGATCCTCATGGTCTTAGGAACCCCCAAAATAGCCTAAATGCCACGCAGAAATTTGTAATTCTGACATCACGACCTGGGCACCAAAACAATCATTCATGATTTTGTATTCATTGATCTCTACACTGCAAGCTAAACGTGCTTTCAAAACTTCTAGTTTTCTTGTCTTTATGTTTCCTTTTGTGGATGTTGTGCGGATGACAAATCAATGAGTACCGAAGATGTTAAAGAGGAAGCATCAACTTTAGCTCCATAAATACATTGTAAACAATGGCTAACTCACCCCAACCCCTTTCATAACTATAGATCTTTAAAAATAACAGACCATACAAACAAAATATCACCAGAGACCGAAAAAAAAATAGATTAATAAAAACAAAACCTTAATAAATGCATATTTCACAGCATGTTTTTGAGAATACCATAATTTTAAGCTTCTAATAAAGGGCAGCAATGGCTTACCTGTCAAGAAACATTTATTTCTGAACTTGGTGCTCGACATAGGTATCCGGGTATTATCCATTCTGGACATTTGAGAATACCAAAAGCTCCTTGCAACATTCACAAAAATACTCTCTTTACTTTCTGTTATTAAACACTTCCTTTGCACATTCTCTTGTGGCCTAGGTAACGATGCAGCTTTAAATGTGAAAAGCGCACACCACTCCGTCAACAGTTCGTCAGAATGCAACGAAAATTTCCAGTTAAAAAACAAACCAGCTCAAACGGTCTGCATGAAAGTGGCATACATGTTGAGCTGCACGTCAACACTAGATATCCCAGAGATCTTTTTTCTTTGGCACTACACTAATACACCTAACCGAATCAGCGTAACACGCCAAAATGAGGCAACTGCCAGCGAGAAAAAGATTCGGAGGATGTCTCTAAGGACACCGTTTTAGCAGGGTTTACGTCGTCAATTATTCAGACCGCAGGCTGGCCACAACAATTCACACCAATTCGATTCTTCCCCCTTGCAAAGCGATTATTGGCGGCTCATGCTGACTGTTCGAACATCCATGAAAGATTCATCTTAGGTGTCGTCAGCGGAATGCACGAATACTTTTTTTCATCTTCAAGAATAAGAGGGTAAAGCCATTGTGTCTGTTTGGGACAAGCTTTATTGTGTGCGTGTGAAGACTGATCTCCACTGCTTAACACAAGACATAGTCTCTACAGTATTCATAAACTCGTTCTTGTCAAAACGAGTGGGCTTAGCTTTTAAACTGCAGTATGCATGAATATTTACTGTGGTGATAAAAATGCTATAGTGTCAGTTGACAATGTAATGTGACCGGAACGAAAAATAGCAGTACGTGGTACTAATAGTACATCCAACATTGACCGTAATATGGGGCTTTTTTTTTCTTTTGATTGAACATCCTTAAGATACTTTAGAATACGGTTGGTGACAGCTTATTTAACAATGCAAAAATCAACATCTGCAGTAAATTCTTGTCTTTGGCATGGTGTATTGTTTTCAGTATGATGTAAACCTTGGTTTTGCCCTCAACAGGACAGTGCTTCTGACTGAAGTGTCTTTCGGCCATTCCCAAGGGGGGGGGGGGTGTTAACATGTTCTGACCTCATGCACAATAGAATTGTAAATGGGCTGAATCTTCAATGTCATGTTCATACTGAGCTGGAACAGCATAGGGAGGACTGCTGTTTGTTTTTTTTCCTCATCATTACAACCGTTATTTTCCTCTACTTTTTTTTGTGTTTGTCACTGTCTTGTGAACTGCTATTTTCGGGATGCTTTGATAATCGAAGCTGACTTTATGCTTTTGAGGCTAGAAAGGTAAGCAGAGTAAAGTCTGATTGCCCGTTTGTACTTCTCTGTTGACATCCACCCCTTGAGGCTCATATGACCTTAAGCAGTTTGCGAGCGCCGTAAAACCTTACTAAAACTAACTTAACCTTGGTTTATGCTTTGTGAGGAAACGCAATTTTTCCCCTCCTCTATTGTTGTTGTCTTCACTTCTCTATAATTTACATACATTTTCTTTCTTGACATTAAAGCTTATCATTTCTAATGACCACATAATTAATTTCATAATAACGATGTTATTGTGTACCAGCTTGTAGCCGCGTCTCCCTGGACTAACGTTATAATCTGATGATGCTTAGTTTAGTTTAGTTTTAGTAGAGGTTTGACGGCGCTCGCAACTGCATAAGGTCATATGAGTGCCAGAGCTTAGGATGCTTTTGATCATGCCTAAACTGCTTGCAGAGGGCACAATACCCCTGAGCGGAAGGTGGTTAAAACATGATAATCCTATAGTCATATTTTGTCCCTACTGCGAGAAGGTCTAAGGCCTACCCCCACCCCACCCCACCCCCTCTCCC